AACAAAATCTTATAAATGATATTATATATATATATTAGTATATATTACTTACTAAGTTAGAAAAAATTTACTAACTTTATTACTTATAGTCGTTATTTATTGTTAAAACGCGTTAGAAAATGTATAATTCAAATTAAATGAAATCGATACTTACCAAGCTATACCAATTTATTTCATTTCCTTAATCATTAAGTGCACTTACTATAATATTAAAAAACATTCGTTTTCCATAAAAATTTGAAGTAGCACAAATTATATCAGTACTTTCTAAAGATGCAGAAGAAAATATTTCTATATGATTATCTTTGTCAAGAGACACAGTTGATTCCACTTTAAAAAAATTGTCAAGCCTAGTTAGTAGGTTTTGAAAGCTCTCAGCTTGTAATGGGTCCAAATTATTTATATTTTTCTGAAGAAAATCTTCCAGGTCTTCTAACCTTAACCTTAAGGCTTATAAAAGTTTTCCAAACCCTTTAGTTTGGCGATATTTTTTATAGACTTCTTTTTCAGTGAGTTTTTTCTGTTTAACCTAATAATAATCAATTATTAATGATATTTAAAGATTATTTACTAAGCAGTATTAGCATTGAACATATGTCCAACACCAACATTGATTTACTATTTAAACGTACTGTATTCAATATTTGTTTTATATAGTCTTTTTTGTTTGACATTTGATAAGGTATCTTTACATAGTCTTTATGAAGTGTTTTATAGGTTTCATTGGCTATACTATTTATTGACCCATATTTTTTAATTAAAGGTACTATATAATAGCACCAAGAATGAAGCTTTGGTAATTGTAGACCACTTCGTGAATATGAAGAAAATATTTCAACGAATTCTTGGGCCCAATCCACAATTAATTTCTATAAATTAATTATTAATAATCATTAATAATCAAATTTTTTTTAAAAAGCTATGTATTTGGGATTTTTGCTAACAAAATTACCCTTTGGAACATAGTCCTGAAAAGTGATTTTGTTAGCAAAAATCTTATTTATTTTATATATCTGCAATTTAGTTAAAGAATTGTCAGTAAACAATTCTTCTCGTGATGCAATATGAAAAACTGGTGATATATGCTACATAACCGTTCATTACTAATTTCTGGCTTCCTATAATCTTTATATAGGTTATCAAGCACGAAGATTATTACTTTCATTAAATTTCCAAATTCATCAGCTGTTATGCGTGTTATTTCGGATATATTTTTTAATATTTTGAGTCCCTGATGCCTAGGAATCAGCGTTAATTGCTGCTCAAAGTTTTGCATCACTTGTCTTTTACACTGGTCGTTTAAAAGATCTTTAATATATTCTAACATATACTTAAAGAGACCAAGATCTAAGGTATGTATTCAATTAGGGACGATGAGCTTATATATATTAAAGTTCCTAAAAAAAAAAAAAAAATATTTACTTATAATAATAAATAATAATAATAGCATTTTATACTAATAAACCTAATTAACTTTAATTTATAGCTTATTTCCCAAAATGTATTTGGTTCAGGATGAATTGAATAATTATTTTCTTTACCGTCCTCTATTACTTTTTTCATATTATTAGTTGTTCTTGAGGATATATTAGTTAAGTTAATATTATTCAAGTCATTCCTTGATACTAAACAGGAATAACAAGGATTTTTTGATGCAGATGACTGATAAACGTTAGCCATCTTGCTGGCCTCAAGCAAATCAGCTAATAATATTGAAATTCGTGGGACAAACGTTGTTAAGTTACCACAAATAATAAAGTTAAGCTCCGGACCATCAGCAATGGGCTTGATTAAAATCCTTAGACATTCATGAAAAACTTGTCTTTGTAACTTTCAAAACTCTTTAGAATCTTTTGTTTTTGAATCTTTAGCCTTTAAGATAGGTAGGTATCTGATTAAAGCTTTAGATTCTGGCTTATTTCACTGAGAGTTTGGAATATTACCTAAAGTTTGAAACTGGGTATGTTAAACTGATTTTATAATATAAAAAAATAACCAAATACTAATATTATCTAAGGATAAAAATATAAGTGTTTGGAAGATTTTCCCATATGGTCTAGGGCAGTGTTGTCACTCGGACTGGACTCAGACTCGGACTAGACCGGACTGGACTTGGATTCGGACCGGACCAGCCAATTATGTCTGTCAGACAGTATATTACTCAAGCTAGTTTGAATTAGACATTAAAAAAGCATTATAAATCACCAAAATCAGTTTAAATGATTTACCAAAATAAAAATAATATTGTGCCACTACAACACTGTGAAGAACTTACCCCAAAACTTATAATATTGCATAACAATAATTGATCACAAATACAATCGGTTCGCCACAGTAAAAACTTAAATTTTTGCTTCTAATGTCACTCATAATAGTTTAATATTTTAGTTTCCAATTCATTATCGCTCAATGAATATTTAGCATAACTTTGCTTACATGTTACTTATAAATAGAAAAAATATATAATATTTCGATTCAAATATATAAAGAATAAAAAAAAAAGGTGATTCAAGCATTGCAAATAAAAAAGATTGATTCAAGTATAAGAATTGGTTCATGTATAATAAATGAAGCGATACTAGAGAACTACTTAAACTTATTATCATTATTAATGTCAATTATCGTATTAATAAACATGTAATTATTACGTATAAATAGTCTTTTACATTAAGTCTCATGATCTGAATTAAATCCCCGAATCATGTTTCAATTCGTAAAAATTGAAAAATAACATCACAATAGTGTAAAATATATAGGCTAAACACATATTATATAGACTATATAACAATATTATGCTCTAAAATTTTTCAAGTTTATAAAAAGTTCATTCAATTCTTAATAGATGCTAATGTACAGTAGAAAACCAAGTTTCAATCTCAAAGTATTCTAAGTTTAAAAAGGCTCTAGCCTATAAAACTTTTTTCTTTATTTATTATTATAATAAAATAAATTGAATTGTTAAAATTGAAAATTGAAAAAATGAATTACAATAATGGTAATTCATTAAAAAGTGTAATTTGATCCCATTTGGCACTAGAATCAACCGCTGGATGAATAATATCATCAACTAGTAAAGAAAATTCTTCTTTTTCTTCATCTATATTCGCTAATTCTTCAGTTTCATTGCTGATATTTCTACCCATACATCCAAAAATTGACTAAATTCTTCCTCCAAAGAATTTGAGTCTGCTATCTCTTTATTATTAATGTTTTCGTTTGCCATATTATCTTCGTTCTTAGGTTCAGGTTCAAGTCTTGATTCAGTTTTAAGTCTTGATTTAGTTTCAAGTCTTGATTCAGTTTCAGGATCAGTTTCATTAAAAGGTTCATTATTTTCTTCATTGGTAACCTCTTGTTGGTTCTGTATGCTTTCTTGAAAATTTGGTGCAAGAAATTCAATAGAATTTGATTCTTTCTGATGATTCCATGTAATCTCAGCTCTTAATTTAGATATGTTAAAAGCTTTTGGAGACTAGAATATAAGATTAAATTAGAAAAACAACAAAGCAGCTCTATACAGTATCATTTTCTCGA